ATCGTTCTATTATAAAACATTGGGGGTAATTGATAGGTTCAGAAGTTTCCTACGAGTAAAGACACAGATGCCGATCGGAGTGCCTATATGTTATACATTTCCATTCAGATGCCACTACATCCTTGTATCAAAATTCCCAGTGAGTTTATTATTTTGTTAAGAGAAAACTCTGACCACCCCTTCAGCACAATAAGAATGGAACGATCCTTTAAACGAAGTTGTCATTACCTTCGCAAAGAAGGTTATATTTTCGGCATTCTTGACAACTCGAGAAGGCTTGGATGAATTGTCTTGACTCTTAATATTTGGTATGTCGGTAGGTCTTGATGAGACCTCGAAATGATTAGATCCCCCTGGCAGCTTGTTATGGTACTGCAGAGGCACTTTCGCTTTTGATCTCATGATCTGGACATGCTAGGCAGAAAAAAGTTCCTTAATTAAGACTTAAAAACTTAAAAAGACTTTCTCTTCTAAAATCCAAGAGTTCGGCTTGTGACAAAATCGGAATTTTCCGTAGACGTCTCAAATTTCATCTTCCTGTTTTGAGAAGTTGCAATTGCCAATATCGCTCTTAGTGCTTCATTTCTCAAGTTTATCAACTTTCTGTCTGTCTGTCTGTCGTCTTTCATACAAAATTGGATTTTCCGTGGGCGTTTCAAAGTTCATCTTCCTGTTTTGAGAACAGTTGTCAGTTATCGCTCTCAGTTCTTAATTTCTCAAGTTTATCAAGTTTCTGTCTGTCTGTCGTCTTTTCATTCTTTCCGACCCTCCCCCACTTCGCAGCCTCGCGGTTTATCGCGTGGTTGTTTTCCTTAGCCGCATTCACCGAGATTACGTGAAGTTTTCCACCCGGCGGCCAGTCTGTCACTGTCCGGGCCGGTTTGGTCAGCTGGGGTGTCCGGCCGGTTTGTATGACAGTGTCAGGACCTCGCGGTATTTTCCTGGAGTAGAGGCCGTGCCCCGACGCCAGTAGATCACTTAGAACTAACCACAGCGGTTTCTTTGAAGTCTAAAGATTGAAAACTTGACGCGAAGGCGCGACGGGATGGACATGTCACGCCCGTGGCCGTGCGGCCAGGAGGCGAATGGTGTCCAATGCCTAGTGGGACTGGTCTAGTGATGACCGGTGTTCCTGTTCACCGGCCATAGAAATGGACGCAAGGAACAGAACATATAGTACATTGTACCATTCATTATGGTAAGGAAATAATTGGATAAAAATGGAAGGTAATATAATGTTTAGAACTTGAAGAGCGAAAGATTTAATCAACAAAGTTATTGTTCTTGGAAAATAATGAAACAATCTTTCTGCATTCCATAGCGAAATGTAAGAAATTCCTTTGCCTTTCTGCCTTTTACGCTCTTAAAGGCAGGTAAATCTACTGAAAGACAGCGAAGATGATGATGATGAAATCATTCTGTATACAATGTACTTTCAAAAAGTTTAAAGTTAATACTTTGATATTAAACGCCGTATGGTGACTTGATTTATATCCTTGGTGCTTCACAATATTTCATTGGTTAGGGATGTTGATATAAAAAGGTGTAAAAAGAATGAATAGAAAATCATTTCCAGGAGCCCATCTTTCCAGGCATTGTGTTGGCGTTTGGCTGTTTCACGAAGCACTGAGAGACTCGATATTACATGTACTAGTTAAGTTCTGGACTTACAGAAATGTAGGTCATCAATTGATTGCTAATCGTTCACGTATTTTATACATAGGCGTCATACATTCGTGTCTTCAAATAAGGAAAATATGAAAGAGGAGATGGTCACGATTTTTCGTTGTCGACCAAGTGTGATATACAACCAACGGATAGAAAACAAGAACCACAGAAAAATCGCATTACCGTGGGAAAAATGAAAATGGTACGATTACCGAGTTGGTATACTTAAGTTTTATTTTATGATCCCGTGATGATTGTTATCTTGTATCTGTTAGCTGTGTGCGTGTGTGTATGTGTGCGTGCGTGTGTGTGCGTTCGCGTCTGTGCGTGTGTGTGCGCGTCCGTGTGTGTGTGTGTGTGTGTGTGTGTGTGTGTGTGTGTGCGCGCGCGCGCGTGTGTGTGTGTGTGCGTGCGCGTGTATGTGTGAGTGCGGAGCAAGGGCCCAGTGTGACTAACACTGTATTCTTACTACCGACGGTGCAGTTACTCTAGATCTCCAAGCAGAGGTTGTGCGTGCGCGTGTGTGTATGTGTTACTTGCCGACATGTTTTGGGTTTCTCCCCTTTAGTTCTCAGCCTAAGTCTTCACGGTTTTTGATCAAAGCTTCCAAACCTGCCCTTGATTCCAGAAGGTCGGCTGTGATATTTTGTGTGCTCAGTTTGCCGAGTTCCCAGGAATATAGAGTTGTTGGATTACAGTTGGAACTGGGCTCGCACGCGGGAAACGGCACGAAACCCCTGGGGCAAAGTAGCCTCAACCAGGCTTCGTATAACTCTTGTAGAAACAGTAATTGGTATGACCAGAGCAAGAAGTCGTCCTACTAGCCTCCATCAGGCCTTCCTACGGGGAAACGGATCGTGAAATTCGGCAAAAATAAGAAGAATAGTTAATTTGCCCCTCCGATCTGCGTGGGCAAACGCACTCTACAGTGGCCAAACTCCCGTGGCTGATTATTCCTAGTCTCCATGATCCACCAGACTCCTTTGCAGGCTGAATAAATAGTAGAAATCGGCTAAGGGGAACATCATCGGCCAGAGGCGCCATAGAAGCTGGACCCTCTATGGCCGGCCAACTCCTCTGGTCAATGATGTTCCCCTTAGCCGATTTCTACTATTTATTCAGCCTGCAAAGGAGTCTGGTGGAGACTAGATTATTCCCCCTATCTGGCTAAATTTGACTGTTTTCTTGAACCCACGTTGTTAGTCTGGTGGAGACTACCAACCCTCAGCAGACGACACCCTTGAGATGCTGCCAGGCGCCCGTCCCGAATACTTCCTCCTCCCGGCGTCTCTTTTATCTCTCAACTCACAAATGAGTCAAATTGGAGGGGAATTGGCACAGAGGAACTTCTGTTTTTGTACTGTGAGATCTGTAGATAAACGGTAATCCTCACAAGCAGATCCTACGGTGGCAAGGCAGTGTCCATTGGCCAGAGGAGTGTTTATTTGATATCCCCAGTACTGGCTACTGGCGTGCTTGCCACCGTAGCATTTGCTTGAAGTTTGGATCAAAATTGAATTGAATTGAATGAAAGACCTTTATTGTACGTTTATGCTCTTAAGATCTAAGCACAGGTCATGTATAAAACAAGTAAAAATTACAGTAGTATCTTACTAAACTATACATACTAATGTGAACTACATGTACTATTTACAGATTCAACTTCTCGCTTCTTAAGGTAGTGAATGAATGAATGAATGATGAATGAATGAATGAATTTATTTTTATTTTCGTGTCTTGCAACTTTTGTCGCCCAGCCCATGGCATATGGGCTTATAATACACCAGAACATAATCATAAACATACGTAAGGAAATCATAGAACTTCTTCGAAATATAAAAGTGCAAATCAAAGGTCAGACATCACATAAAGAACTCAATACAACGTTGTACATAAGACAACTGGTAATTGTAGATGTATGAGATTAAGGCCACTGAAATGTTCGATGATTACGGAGGATGATTATGGAGGATGATTTGCTGCCACAGCGATCGGCAGGGGTCCACCTTGTACCTTTAATCCGCTGGTCCCTGTTGACTGGGGGTCTGTCCTGTCGGGAGCTCCTGCCGAGAACTTTCGCGGTGGCCTTGGGCGATAATCTCCGCTCTATTGGGGGCGATATTCAGCTAGCCCCAGGCCTTCGTAATTATCCTAAAGTACTCCAAGCAAAGGTTTAGGCTTCGGCTTATTTTTTTGACATGATATAGGCATTTCTATCAGACTTTCTTTTTTTGTACTGGTACATGTATTTTCTTTTTTCTTTTTAGCAAATGGTAACTCCCTGGTAAATAAATACGACCTGGACAGTTCTTCTTCTTCTTTCTTCTTTCATTTGAGGCAGCCGCCTTCAACAAGCTGAAGATTCTGCTGCCTTCTATGGCTAGTACGAGATGGGGTTCGCCAGGCCTCCATCCGGGTGATTTGTAGTGAATCACCAACTTCCAGACAGTTAGTTTTGTACCATCGTAGTTTGATACTGTCTTGCCAATCTGATGCTGCCTTGCAGCATATATACTAGTACTCAGTTTCAGCCAAAGCAGTGAATACTGCCTAATACCCGTCGGTGGCTGGCGACCTTCTCTGGCTAATGGATACTGCCTGGCCAATTTGATACGGTCTTTTTGCCACCGAGAGGGATCTGCTTGGAGATTGGATTTTCCATTCACAATCGCTCAGCTTGCCGAGTATACGACACTGCAGCGGCCCCTGACGGTAATAAATTACACTGCAGCCATGTTAATCTATTGCATTACCATCTTACTCCGCCAGACGGCGTTCTTTCACAGCCGCGAACATTGCCATCCCGACTCGAACGGCGGACGACACACTTGTTTCGAATTCGTGTCAATTTTGTCTCGACGTTGACAACAGTTTGGGCAAATCTGTATCATTGCAACAAACCATCCAGCGTATGTAAAAAGTTAGTGGGGTCGCTTTTAAATTTCCAGGAAAAAAAAATATTTGCAAAATCACAATTCTGCTGATGCAGAGAATTATCCTTATTTTAGATCCGTACATATAGATTCCTGCTCTAATAATCACAATGATGGCTTTTAGTTTATTTTACAGACGTATACACCCCTATTTGTCACAATGGTACCCTCTGAGCGTGAAAATCACACCCCTATTTGTCACAATGGTAAGTACTGAAACCCGGCGCTCTGATTGGTCGAGAGTTGGCGGCCATATTATGAAGGTGAGTATTTTGCATAACTGGTGGGTAGGAGACAGGTAAACACACGGGCTTGGTGGACTCGGAAGTCATTCTCGGCTGGAACGCCAGCGAAAACGGCCGCACCGGCGACGAGAAAAGGTTCTACAGGTCTCCAAAGATGTCGGGTGAGTTGTGAAGGCGTGTTTTCTTGACGATATCTTGATTTTCCTGGGTTTTGACGTGTGGGTCGAGGTTGTTGTTAAGGGGGAGGGGGGCGGACCTACCGGTAAGGATGTGCAGTATATTGATTTTTGTGAAGGGGAAAAAATATCGCGTGGGAAGCGTCGGAGCACAAAATGAGCAGCAGCAGACAGAGGGTGTCACGGAAACGTGGACGCAGTAACGGTTGAAATGTTTGAAAAGAAAAGGAAAGAAGGTACGTATTTGGTTTGGCCAACTTCCAAAATAACGTACAATATAACGTTACTACCTGTTTAAAAAAAATAAAGATGAGATTTTATTACCTGGGGCCATGATTTTTTTGGCCAGACGATTCCATAACAGTAACGTAAGGTTTTTAAATCATTATACGTCAGATGTCTTCCTTTGCACTATAAGGGAATGGAACAAACTTGAACCTGGTGTTCTGGAGGTGGGGTCTTTCTAGCCTCTGCCAGGCTTTGGCCAAATAGAAGATATGCCAGCTAGACGAGTTGGTATATGATAAAAGAACAGTTTGCCTCTCCTGAACACCAACTTCTAGATAGTAGTATTTGGACCATTACACACTGGAGCATGCCTCTACTCGTTTTTAAAAGGTGAGGTGGGTGTGGCTCTTCCCAAACACAGGATGTCCATTTAACATCCTATCCCAGGGATGTCCGGTCCCTAACCAGAGCTAGGTACCCAATTTACACCTGGGTGGAGTGAGGAAAGTTGCACAAAATGCCTTTCCCAAGGTACAAGATCAGTGGCATGGCAGGCTAGTACAACTAAGCGGAAAGAAGATGTCACGTACTGTTACAAATGCAGGTTGTGGTTGACTGGACAGCTAACACTGTCCTTAGGCGATATGAACTTCAGGTCCAAGAGTCTTTCATGCGTTTAGAAATAAACAGACTAACAGCAGGGAACAAAAGTTGTGTTTTGTTTTGAACACTGTGCAGGCGTCTGTTGTCATGTTTGCACCGCACTCTTGAAATTTCTGCACCAGCATGACTCGTGATGTTTGTTATATGTTTGTTTAACTCACTGAAGCATGGTATGTAAGGTAAAGAGTGGGGGACAGGGAGATGTTGGGTAATCAAATAGTTTGACAGCTCCACAGTTCATAACATTCCTAATTATATATTTCAGGCCAAAATTCAGAAGCCAGTGGGTGTTTTTTTTAAATCAAATTCGACAGGATAAATTTGCTTAAACTTAAAAAAGTTAATGCTAGATTCAGGTGATTATGCTTTATCTTGAATCCACATACAGATTATACCCCAACTGAGATTTGAGAGGTCCAGCTACAAACTCATCGAATCATCTTCAGTACTACAAATCAGTTGAGCTAAAATGGCTGATTGCTCTATGTAAAAGGGCACACAGACCCCTCAATGGTCTTATTTTAGCTAGTAGATCTACTGATCAGAATTCACACTGTGTTTAGATCTTTCCCATACCAATTGCCTCCTTAGATAAGCAATAGCAAAGATATCAGGTATTTATTTAGTTCAGAGATTGACATAATCAGGGCAAACTGTGTCAGAATATTATACACGGCTTGGGGCTATATAAATACCAGTATACACTATAATCAAATATCAGCAGTCTGCCTAACTAGCTTTTGCACTTTTTTTAAAAATCTTAAATTCTTAAAAGTTTTCATAATGGAAATCATTAAATCCATCTACAACTACTAGTACAAGCAAAATTTGCCCCTCAAAATGCAGGAAATAGGATTTCAGAGGGTCAAGATTTCAAAATTTTCCCTGAACCCCCCTAGCTAGGATTGTCGTGTCAATGGCATGACGTTACGTCAAATAAAATTGTGATGACGGAAAAAAATTCAGGCTGGCTTAGATTAGAAAACGCTGTTGCCCCAGATCTCAGCTATGCTATAGGAAGTTTAACTTTAAGGTATTGAATTTCTGTAGGTAAGTGCTGTGCGCTGGTCAGTGTTTGTTTTCCAGCTGACCCAACAACTAGTCAACTGTCAAAACAGCAATTATCGTTCTTTGATGTGATTCTGACATGTTGACCTCTCTATTAAAGTTACCTTGGCATATCTATTAATCATTACAAATGATTATAAATGTGTGTTTTTGTCTTTTCACAAGGATATAGTCTATGTTTTCGTTTGTAATTTAGATAATCCTAAATCTACAGTAGTTTGCATGGTATGCTGAAATGGCAACAACCGTTGAACCTTGCGAGAATCAGTTAAAGCACCACTATGTAATAAATCAATGTTTTGGCAGTAAAATATAAAAATGTCCTAGATATAACAAGGCTTCCTTTTACTACTTTTCAAAATATTTTTGTGCAATTATTTCACATTTCTTAAGTGTACGTGGTTAGCACAAAAACTGTATGCGTGATCATGAGGTGCATTCGGTTCACGAAAACCATCAGGAACTGGACGCTGTTAGAATCCAAACAGCGTCTCTTTGCCTCCATGTGCCGGCCGGCTTTGACGTACAGGCATGCAGAACTGAGTAAAATCTTGGCACAATGTTTAGTGCGTGTCGGGGGCGCCCTTCAGGGGCTCAAGAAAGACTCAAGTGTTTTGTATCTTTGTAACGGACAGGGGTTGGTCTGTGGACGTGTGCGGTTCAGCAACAAACACTTGGATGAAAAGGACAAGCTGCGTTGTGAAAAGCCTTGCTTTAGTTACTAAGGCCTTACATTTGTAGCCTCCATAGCATGCCAAAATCTGGGGGTTTTGGGGGTCTTCATCAAGTCTTCAGGGTCTTTTATGTGATATTTTCTGATTGCATATAGACAACATAGCCGGCCTGGTTGAATTACCCCCGTTTTAGAACTGGGCTAATCAGAAAACAGCCGAAGACCACCAAACCCCCAGTTCTATAAGCCTGCTACAGAGGCTATTACATTTGTACCTGTTCATTTTCTTGGGTCTCCGACATGTATAAATGATTAGCAATTAGTCTCAGGCTGAGATGTGAATTAAAATGGTTCGCTATGCCTCACAGAAAAAGGCACGCGGACCCCCACACTACAGGTGTTTTGAAGACCTGGGAGGTCATGCATTTAAACCATGTAACATCTGGGCAATGGAGGGTAACATTCCTCGGAGCTCTGTATCCAAGAAACGCGGACGGAAAAATCCGCTATGACAGCAGGTTTCCCAATGTGTTGATCCAAGCAGAAGATTGGTTTGAGGGGAACAAAGCCTTATTCTCTTGCCCGGCGCAACGTCCATCTGGTAGGACTACTGACTGGTGCATTGTAAAAGATATTCATTGGTAAAGATCTTGTGTTTGAGGCTGTACTACTGTAGATTAAAAAAAAAAATTATCCTGAATTCCGACCCAAAATACTACTAGTATTCCTAACACTGAGCAGCAATCAGACTGTATACCTTGAAATCTCAAATATCCAGAAAACATTGTGATCGCAAGAAAAGATCTTACAACAACTGCATGCAATTTGGGAAAATAAGAGGCAACTGACACAATGTTATGAATGTCATATTCCATTCTAAAACAGAAATCCTGAGCCGCTGTCATTGGAAATAAACTTAACTCCACCAAACTAAAACTGACAACATGTATAACTGAATTACCGGTTGGTCTTATTTGGTAACTTTCCAATACATTACACTAAACGTATCGTCTAACAGGGCTTAGTTTAAATCCTACTGGATTAGAAATGATGACATTTTACTCACAATTTGTACAATGGGACAAGACTGGAATATTACCTCATCTTTCAGTTAGGCCACTCAAGCATATTATGGTGTTATATAAGAAGAAACATGGATCATAACATGTGGTAGTTGCATGGTAACAAATCCATCGACAAAGTAGACTAAAAGTCAAAGAGTTGTCTTGAAATCTTCTTTGAGATCTTAAAAGACCTGGGTACAGAACACTAAGCCATACTCTTTAAAGGTTACCAAGAATAAGGTACAGGGTGTAGATCTAGATGAAGTACTTCATGGTTTTGTAAGACTGACGAATGCCTACTCTTTAAAGGTAAGGTAGTTTCTCTCAGCATTGTCGTAAGAACTTTTAAAAGTCAAAGGATTGTCTTGGGATCTTTATATAGATGTGGGCAAAGGACACTTATAATAGTCAAACCCTTAAGTCAAGGGCAATGTACTACGCTTCTTGGATTTTGTCTCAGACATCTTAAGAACTTTTATATGAGTCTGGAGTGGCTCAAGGTTGAGATTTTGCTGTTGTGCCCACACGAGCGTACAAATGTAGCACTCTTGACTGGACCATTAAAAGCACTTTAGGCCACAGCTAGTAATTTTTATGGATGACATCAGCGCACGCATTAATTTTCACCTGATTTTGGGGAAAAAACAAGAAATTTTGTTGCCTTCTGACAGTGGTCAACATGCCGAAAATGGGCAAAGATGTTGTTACAATGACGGAAGGTGGATGGCAGATAATTATGAAGAGAGGAGACAAAAAATGGCTCTGATTTAATGTTTTGTTTCTTACTTTGATGCAGTGATATGTGATGTTCCCACTGTACACAAAACCATTTGTACAATGATTGAGTCAAAATTTAAAAATGTAGGAAACTCTGTTTTTTTTCGGCTCGTCTTATTTTTTTTCACCCGCTCGCATTAGATTTAGGGCCTCCAAAGGACGTCATCCATAAAATTTACTTGGTGTGGCCTTACAAAGGTTCTAGTGTTAATGGCAGGAAATGACATTTGCCTAACGCAACTAGATTAAACTGTTGTCGTGCTAAAGGTCACGTATGATGCAGCCGGCATTTACAGTTACAAATTTGGTTATAGAAAAGGGCAGATAGGTTTAGAGTCCATTCCACGTCACCGCGAGGGTGTTTTCTCCCATTGTTTCGAATTTTTTTGAAATGTTTGTAACCATTTCTAAAAGAATTTCATAGTTTTTAAACATTTCGAACTTGGTTTTAACTTCGTAAACAGTTTTCCCTAATCATAAATCATTCGAAACATTCTAAAAGCCATGTACGATGTTTCGAAAGAATTCTAATAAAAGAATTCGCGTGAATACCATTTTTTCGAAAAGTTTCGAAATGTTTGTAATTGGCTAAATGATCTGTGAAATCACTAATCCCCTCTAGCCGACTGCAGCCCAAAAATAGAAAGGACAAGGGGCATCCCGTGGCGAATCTGGCTGCCCGACCCTCAGCGACCAGCGATAATGTAAACAAACACCCACCCAAACGGCCGCGTGAGAAATCAAATCCAGTGCGCGGAACTTGCTCTCGAAAATTTATCAAGCCTCTCCGCTTCCCCCCGCGACTGCCTTCCCCCAACTTCCCCCACACTAGTTCAAATCACGTCAAAAAACATCAAGATATGTACAGAAGCGTGTTCATATCTTTCATGTTACGGTTAAAACCAAGAACCTCCTTGAGTGAACGTTACAAACACGAGACAAATTTTCAAAAACAAATCGCAATCAGCAAGATTTCATTCCTGTTTCATTCATCAAACGTTCTCGTCGATTGTAAAATGATCACTCATCTGTTGTCTCCTCTAGTGTGTCATTTGTAGCGTAATCACGGCGTGCCAAAAAAAATCGGTCAAAACTATGAAAATCCCGGTAAAAAAAACTTGTTCTCAACATCGCTGTACAAAACCATGCGTGCGCCATTTTTATATGTAAATAGCAGCGCTCTGATTGGTTCACCTCACATGACCTGCGTTCCGATTGGATAAGCGATATCGAGCCGGCCGCGCGAAGAGGCACATTTTCGCTGCTTTCTACGTTTTATCTACGACTAATTAGCAACATCCTATCAAAGAAAGGGTGATTAGACTCTAAAAGAATTTTCGGGACAATTTCTATGCGCCGATTTGTAGTGTAATTTTGTTGTTCGAGCCAGATAAAAATAAACCGGCGATACCCGGAAGTCAGCGTACCGAGCTGGGTTTCCATGGGCCATTTCCATATATATACGCACCGCGCTAACATTGGCCGGTAAAACACAAAACAGCGCTAGAAATCAAGCCCGATAAATAAGCTGAAGCTTGTTGAAACCGACGAAAATACGAAGCACGCGCTGTAGAAAATCGCCGACAAGGCTGGCGCTGGGAAAAACTGCGATCCGCCCGTCCAGATGGCCGCGGACGTCCCGCCGCGCGAGGTCTAAACATAAACAGCCGCCTGTGGATCGGGATTAGCGCTTGATTGATAACAGGCAATTCTTCTTTTACGAAAAAATTTCGAAACTTTTCGAATTTCAAATTGTGTTTGTAAACATTTTGAAATTAAGATCCCATTTGATTGCCACTTTCAAAATTTTTGCAAATGATTCTAACATTTTCGAAAACATGCTACTCAGGTACTTCCATTTTTTATAATAATTTCAGAATATTTATAATATTTTTGAATTATTTGAAACTAATTGGAAAATATTAGAAATATGATTAAAAAACCCGCACGGTGACTTGGAATGGACTCTAAGTGTTCATCTTTTGAACCCTCTCTAGATCTGCTCTCCCACTTACATTGTAGTCTCTCAATGTAGAAAATCAAATGTTTTCTGCCACCTGTTAATTTGATCTAAGAATCAGTGCTGCTTTCCTGAAAATTTAAATCATTTGCTTGAGGATTGATTCCATGATTCATCTTAAACTGTCAAAAATCAGTGTGTTCACGAAACTTATATTCAATTTGTCTACCTGCAAAATTTGCCACTCAGAATGCATAAAATTACTGGTTCTAGGGGTGGGTGGGTATCAAAATTTCAGAATTTTCAAGGGGAGCATGCTGCAAGTGCAATGCCTCATGCCTTTGAGTTTTGACATGATGTAAAACAAAATCTGTAAACCCAGTACATGGACCAGTGCAGATGAGGTGCAGGTTGTCAGCAGAAATACCTGCACAGTCCGAAGTTTACCCGCACTAAGGTACATTGTACACATTCACCCAGTATTTTCTGCCTGTGTTGTGGAGATCAGATTCATAGTCATACAATATGTTCTTCTTCCATATGCAGCCCCAGCCCGACCAGACCCACCCATCGTAGGGAAGGTGACACACCACAGTATTGAGCTGTACTGGGACCACGCACAGGCATGGACAGACGGGGGAGCAGGAGACACCGGCAACGGGGGGAGGGTTCATTTCTGCCTGCAGGAGGAGGACAAGAACAAGGGCTTCGCTACCATCTACGTGTGAGTATTCAAGACAGTGAAAAAAGTGGTCACGTTGGCCAGGTGGTCCTTTTTTGTACAGGTGGTCACTGGTACAGGTTTGACTGTATTAAACACCCTTGTCCTGTGGAGCCATACATATATGGGTTGCACATACAGTACCATCTATATAGTACCCTGTATATGTACGATTTGGGGGTGTTTCTTGTGCAACACATCACACCGCAGCGAAACGCAACGAATGAGGAAGTAACTATGCCACTGCAGGGCATAAAATTGAAGGGTCTATGACACCAAATTACACGTGTATTTGAAAATATCGTAGAAAAAATGCCAGCAGGACAAGGGTTGAACCATACATTTCCGTATGTCAGTTCCAAATAAATAATGTTGAGTTCTAATGTTCATCACTGCCAATAAAACGATACATGTGTACTAAAGTTGCATTTCAGAATGTTGCAGACGTCCCGTCTTGTTCCTTTACAAATCCACCTTTAGGCCTAGGAAAAAAAATGTTGTGTTTCCGGTTACCCGACCGACCCTATGAAAAACCCCCCTGACCCTAGCCTTTTTTGGGCCGACCAAAAATTTCGAGCGGCTAGTGGTCGGTTTTCAAAATTGGGGATTTTATCCCCGATAAATGTGTTCGTCATTCCAATTTTCTTCGGTCGGGCGGCGTGGATCGAGCGCTAATTGCACGGATCGGGCCGCTATTCAATTCCATTGTCGGCACAATCCTGTGAATTGACGATGAATTGTCGATCTCGCCATGACGCCACAAAGAAAACGTTGTCATTGGTAGAAAATCTGACACCCCGCTGGCGTTTCACAACAAAATTTTCATGTAAACAACTCCGACTGTCTTTGTTTACATCGCGAAAGCTCACCGATACAAAGTAAAACTCCCGCCGGCCGGCCGCGCCCGATCGCATGGTTGCGGCATGGCGCTAAGTTTTCGGCAGCTCGACGGAAAAATAATCCATCCCCAGAAGAAATGTTACGCATGAAAATAACAACTACAACTTGTTTTCCTCGTTATATGAGTTTTTGAGGCCGTAAAATGTTTAAAACGGTTGAAATTTGCTCGAAAAAACGGCTCGAAAATTCACGGCGAGAAAGACAACATGGCCGACCTGTTTTCACAATAACAATGGTCAAAGGTCAAGATAGCATCCAAATGTATAGATACATGTAATAAGTACATATTACAGTGCTAAAACGATACTTTAAACGCATGAAAAATATTTTTTCGGCTACAACTGAAGTAAAAACTCAGTTATATTTTAGTAAGGTTAATTTTCAAACATAACTGAGAAATTTCCCGAATTAATTGGTTTCTTAGTGTAATATTGTTGTTTCTATGTATGTGCGGTTGGATGCTGTCATTGTAAGACCCTTTACATATTGGAGAATCAGATGAGATATTAGTAGATTATCACGCTTAGTACCGTGACCCGAGTGTCTCTCAAAAATTGTTTTTGAGTGGAGTTTATAAACATGATCACATTTTTATTTGTTCAGCTGTGTCAATATGTGATTTGTTTGAGAAATAGGATTTGGTTTAGTTTTTAATATATTAATGTCAGTCAACATCTTTGGAATAAATTGCTCCAAGTTCCAGGTAGTAAATACATGTACATTTTGTATCATGTATTTTTCACTTGTTGAACTTGTGGAAGCACCGTTGGCCCCCGGTTAGGGGTCATCCGGGGAACCTATGCCCAATTTTTTCAAAATTAAGGGTAGTAATTTTTTTGAACATGAGGATAATTAAGTACAGATCTTGAACCTTTCTACTGCCTTATACATCTGCAGTTGTACAGAAAATGTAGAACTGAAGTTGCAGGAAATGACCTCCATTTGTGTTTGGAAAAGACAAAATGCAATAGCTTCCCCCCCCCCC